AGCTTTACTTCAACGGGAAGGACTTGGGGAGCAGGGTTAAATCAGTGATAGGCCTAAGAACCTTCGCTAACTTTCTTAATACTGTACTGTAAAGAGGGGGTCCAAATCAGACCAATCAGTATGATAACTAACATTCTTCTTATTATAAACATCAGCAACAACTAGCTGGAGAAGTTTTTCAACCCGGCGCCACTCTTCTCCCTTTAGAATAGATTGAGAGGACTCAGTAGGAAAAGGCCTTTCTTGATCTATTCTAGTAGACGGGCCAAAACAACTACTGGATCCCAAGGTTGTAGGCCGCCAACAGGCCTCCATGAATTCTCAATATTTTTCCTTAATAAGGCCTGTTTTGTATTATGACTTAGGCCTTGGCATTTATGTAAAAATTGCTCTAAATTGTCACTATACACCATAGATAAAGGACTAAATATACCAATATCAAGCGGCTGCAAAATATGGGCTAAATGAGGTGGATGGATAGCCACGAAAATCTTATTTTCGTCACAGAAGTTAATAAACTTCGTAGTAATATGGGATCCATAGCCATCCCAAATTAGAAGGTGCCAATGCCTCCAGACCTTCAGCTTTGTTTCTGATTAAAAGTAGTTGGGAGCCAAGCATATCCTAGCCAGAAGGTAAGGATGCAAAAAGCAGTGGTGAATATTAGAATTAAAATGCTAAAGCCAAGTATCCTGAATATTGCCTGAAACTGTCTGGTATATAAGACCAGACAGAAAGAAAAGTACCATCTGAACAGGTGCAAGAAATTGTAATAATCCACTCTCTATTTCTATCCTGCAGTTGTTGTCTTATCTGTCCTTGCTCATATCTTTGTGAAGAAAGATTCTTTTGTCTCTTGATAGTACTCCAATGAGAAAGCCCTTTTCACCCATATTATACATATCTTCAGGAAAGATGTCATATTCCTGGATCTTTTTGACCATAAAGTTAAAGTATAAGGCATATTTGTATGCTGGATCAGCCTGTTGCGTGAAGCATCTATTCTAGTAGTATAATGAATAAAAAAAGCGTCCTGGCCATAGCTTTCCAGGCTTATTTCCAGTAATTTCCCTTGCAAAGTTCCATGTCAAAATGTCGGTTAGGCCAAAATCGGGTGTGAAGTGATAACTAACGGTAATGGCCGCTGTGTACAGAGTAAAGGAGTGGGAAGGGTGCTCAGAAAGAAGTCGGGGTCAGATCCATTTTTGCTACCTCCAGAATCTCGGAGCTGAAAATAACTACATCTTAGAGTTTAAAAACAAGGCTATTTTAAGTACCATACAGCTACTACTATGAAACCAGCAGAACAACCATGACGGATTCAAACATGCCAGAACCAGAAAAATAGGAATATATGTTACAGATGCCGATGGCGGCTTGTAGCTCACTAGTTGCAGTTTAGTATTCTTTCAACCTTTCTAGGATCTGGAAATATGATCGGATGACTCTATCCGGAGCGGAGAATTGGCTCGGGGATCTCACAAACGACGCACGTACTTTCATGCATCCCTCGGGAGTCCATGTAAATGCCAAACCTAAACGCTTGCAGATGGGGGACTATTGATTACACCGCTCCCTGTTTCCAAGGGGGTGTTAGATACAACCAATGGTTTCTCATTGCAGCCGAGAATGTGTACAATAAGTTGTCAACAATTATGGTAATTTTGATTATTTAGCACCTTTTTCGTTCAAGTGTGTCACGGGCTAGTAGCCGATTCAACCTATATAATAGATTGGGACTAAAAGAACTCGCTGAGGAGCTTCTATCTGCGGCCGCGACGGCCGAACAGGTAAATGTGTGTGCGAGGTAAACGAGATCGCGTAATCGGGAGAGTTCTACACGACCTCGCGAGTGCCCAGTATACGGGCTCGAGCATTTTGCGGGCCCTGCCCGCTACAAAATGTTGTTGATGATACAACATCATCGGATCGCGTATATTTCCTATATTAGTTAGTTTGAATTCTTCATTTGTCTACCTCTCCTTTATAAACGCGAGATGTTTTGGTAGTTCAGTTGAATCAGAGACCTAATTCAATGAAGGATCGATACTTGCGAATACGCGTAATTTTATGGTCGATATAAGTATTAGGTGCAAGATAAAAATTGACTGCTCTGAGTTATTGGGTGCCTCACATTGGGGAGTGGGAGAAACTGTCTGATCTGGCACATACCCTGAGATGATGCGACCAACGTGATCAGTACACTAAAGTAGATCATGCAGAATCATCGAGAACGCCATACCTTGTTGACTGAATACTTAGCTCGCCTCGGCTCGGCTGAGTGCAATGATGATTGCTATAAAAACTCCGTATGGTGTCCACCCGGAACGCTAACCGCTTCTCGCCTAGTCCAGTTTTATTCTGCTTGGCGCACAGTACAGTTTAATTTGGGTTGGGAATTTCATGCCGCAGGGTGGAATGGAAACATAAGCTCATGTGGAGGGGTAGAAAATAAGAGCCCACCAAGTGGCGCCATTAGTCCTGTATGGGGCGATGATGCGCCTCCCTATTAGCTGCTGTATTATTAAAAATAAATTTAAAGTTCTGTAGGAGTCGGACGTTTTGCTTTTTGTGGCATTTAGGGGAACTAATATCTAGTTCCGAAAAATGAGTAAACAAATTTTTTTTTCTCGCTCGGATGTATCTCAGCTAGCAGTCTCTCTGATGGTAGTATACCGGATCAGGGTTTGGAGGAAAGGCATACGGACACCTTAATTAATGATTTAGGGTAAAAGAGGTAGAGCAGCTAATGGTTGTCCAACGTTAGGAGGCTCGTTAAGATCACCATTTGCATCTAGGATAGTTTCATAGCGCCCTAAGGGATTTTCCACCAGTGCAACAGTTACATTGCCTAATAGACAGTTGTCAGAATAAAGCTAGTCCGTATTGGACCATCATGTGAAATAACCAAGCTACGTGGCTGATTCCGAAGAATCGGGGTCAACCCACCAAGATAGACACATTGAGATGATTCAAGCTCCCATATAATGACACATAACTTTAACAACAGTTATTTATGTGTTGATACTATAACGTAGATCACTACCTGCCACCCGACACCGCAGCCGCCCGATTTCAACACACCACCACCACATCAAATATGAAGCTTTGAGCCCCACACAATTTGAATTATACGGAGATCTTTTGGAGGATTGAAGCTGAGGTTCTAAAGAAACTATACACAAATTTTAATCGCTCCGAAAGCAAGTAGTAGCCGGAATTCAAACAGTCATGTCATCGAATAATTAGTGCTGTGGACCGTTTATTTCTGGCACTTTACTTCCCCCTATTTTCCTTGCTCCTTGGCACTAGGCAATTGTAATTTATATCTTCAGCTGTATGACCACGCTGGTTTTCCATACAAGTACTATGACGGGTTCGTGTATACCCCCATAGTAGCAGGATAACTGAGACCCTTCATAGCCGCGAATTTATATACGGCTTGGAATTTTATGCCCTCAGTCTATTGGAAGCTCATCATACATTTTCCACATGAAATATTATTGCTTTCACAGCAGATTATATTATATTAATCTCTTTCCACCTTTATAGTTTCAACAAGGATAACTCCACAATAGGAGTGGCTGAACTAACTGGCAGCATAAGATCAACAGTATTGCTTTGTAATCTTATAATTTCTCTCCGGAACATCCGAAGAAGTCCTTACACAAGAAGCCTTTACACAGTCTCATGAAGTTCTATAATTCTCTCTAGTGCATGGATATAATGCGAAATTGTAACTACTATATTTTCTCTCGAGTACCATTGGTGAGCGCAGCGGTTGTTCTTGTTGGAGACTTCTACCTAATTCTTCGAATACAGTAATTAAGATATAGCGAAACTGCTACTCCTTGAAAAAGTGCCCCTGATACAAAGGCTGTACACTCCTACAGACTTTCACCATCCGCTTGGATAAGGCATCATTAGGCTCCAAGCTTACTAGTACTCAGCCTTATGCAGTCCAGACAAGTCGTCAAATATATCTCAAGGATATATAGCTACCTAGTCTGCTTGCGTAGTATTAAAGGTGGGTCTGTCTTTCTAAATTTATATCTATGTTTGAAGAAGTGCTTGGCAATTTGGATATGTTTTAATTTAATGCCTGACATCGCTTGGATGTTTATGATCTAGCTCAGAATGAAGAGTGAGTTTCTGTGCATCAGTCTACTTCTGTAGACATCACTTCCCGCACCTCATGAAGTTGTTTTCCAGCTTCCACAGACTCTATACCCTGCTATTAATCAAGTGTCAATGTGTATAATATTTAAAGAGAAGTTTAGATTTATAGATATGGTGATCGTCTACTTGTCTATATAGAGGTAAAAAGTGGCCATTTTAGGGTCAATTCTAGTGTCCCTTGATTGTAGTGGTTTCATATACAGCCGCAAACAAATAAAGTCTGCTTGACTATTCCTAAACTGAGGCTACGTTGGCGCTAGAAATCGGCATCCACGAGAGTCAGACTCTACCACTGAGTAGGTCTTCGCCTATTCAGAGTCCCAACGACAATAATTTTACCCTTTACACAGCGCGAAGGAGCGGAAGTTAAAACTAGACTACACACTGTATCTCAATGGATACTGGGCTGATTGTTCTAGAAAACGATCCGAATGTCGTGTTTTACGTAACTGAGATCTAAAATCCCCCTTGTAGTTGTGTCACTCATCCATGCAACTCGGTATCATTTGGGCCGACAACATCTTTCGACCATTCCAGAACGCAGACCACGACAGGTTTTGGTCGATACTTGTTCTAAATGTGTTTCCTTTTACCCCATTTACAAGGGTTCTTGTCTCCAACCAGTACAGAGTGGACGAATGGATGCATGTATCACAATCTTTCTTTTTTTAAAAAAAATAAAAGAAAACCGAAGCAGAGCCTCCAGATCCAGGTATAAAAAGGCCTCAATATCCCTCCTTCGCTGTTGATTTCAATTCATCATCTCATACTCTCTTCACATTTTCCAAAGCAGCCCTCAATTATACTTCAGTTATTTTACCATGCGTGCTAAAGTTCCAATTGCAGTCCTCCAAGCTGCTGCCATTCAGGCAATACTCGCCGCTCCTCCGTATGGTGCCGACTCGATCTCTAGTACCCGCGGCGATATACGGTCTGCCCGGTCCTCCGTGTCTGTTTGGGACCATGGAGCAGGTGATAAACGTCGTACTCATCTCCTGGGTAGAGCCTATGGAGACGATACTCTCTACGTCGATGAACCCGGACTCGCCCCTACGTACGAAGGAGACGATGGCATCGTCCCCGTCAATCCGAGCTACAAGGATACATCCGCTGGTGATCCAATCACTGTCCCTAGCGGTACAGGAGACACCGGTGCTGGTTCCCAGCCCGCAGCTCAAAATGAGGGTCAGAGTCAGTCTCCCCCAAATGGCGGCAGAGGCAGTAGTGGTCTCGGAACTCTTGCAGATATTGGAAGTGGCCTTCTTGGTGCCAGTGGTGGCCTCTTTGGTGGCCTCGCAGCCGGTAAAGGCGTTGCTGATGGCATTCTTGGTGGAGGTGGCAGTGCTGCTAGTGGCATTCTGGGTGGAGGCGGCAGTGCAGCACCTGAAGGCAGTCTGGGCACCAACGGGGGCACAGGAGCCCTGGAAAATGCTGGTACTATTGGTACTGCAGCCACCGATGGTACTGCAGGTGCTGCCAGCACCGGTAACTCTCCGACGTTCGAGGGTGATGTCAGCAACCCTCCCCCGGCCCAGAAGCCGGCCGAGATCTATATAGACGAGAATGGAAACGAAGGCCCCGTTCCTTGGACGAGCGAGGAGAATACCTTCTCCTTGGATGTCCAGGATGAGGGCGAGGGCGCTTTGTCCGAATCCGGTCGACCGGGACCATACAGAGGGTCTGGAGGTCCTTCGCAGGCTGGGAAGTCTCAATCCAAAGGCATTGACTTTAACAATTTTAGGGAAAGTGTTGAGTCAGAAGCCAAGGGATATTTGAAAACTCCCAATTCAAGTAAGCAATGCAAACATTTATGTGCATTCACATTGCAGTTCTATTAACGCACAGCCTTTCCAGAACATGTCAAGGCATTCGATGGAGGGAGGTCGCCAGCAGAAAAGCAACTATTTAAGGGTCTTAAGGACAATTATTCTAATCTCAAAGAGGTCAAAGCCACCAGTAGTCAGGAAAATAACTGGGCAAGTAGAGACAGGGGCCGTTATCGCTATATGTAAGTCGCACTTGACTCCCATCCATTAGATTATCAGTGGAGGCTGATAGCATTATAGTTCTGGAACGGACAAGAGTGGAAAGGAAGTTCTTATTGGAATTGCAGAGCATGGCCCTAACAGCAACAGCTTTGTTAACTTCAAACACTTCCAGAATCCAAAGAGTGTGTAAGATGCCCGTTTTACGGAGGCAGCCCAGCTGCGGGTCCTCGTTTCAACATACAGGTATGAGGTGGAGGCAGAGAATTGGGGGTTTTGGCGGGGAAGTAGGAGGAGTTGTTTACCAGATTATCAGTTAATTTGGAAGCTAGGCTTTCGGCTGGCATGCGGATTGTTGATGATACCCAGCTTCTGGATATAATCATCAGTCAATTTGGATTTTTGTTTGATTTTCCTGATCCATTACCATAGAGAAGACTCCTTTGACTAATTGAGTATTGTTTGGCTTTATCCGCAGTGTCCAAGAAATCGCCCACCGAGGGGTGCAATCACCCTTAAACGAGGTCAAGGACTCCCTGAAGAGGCTTCACGACGACAACACCGACATACGTAGAAGGATCGGTAACATTGAAGAGTCAGCAACAGCAGGGAGCGCACCATGTGTAGAATTGGGCGATTCGGCCCGACGCTGGAGAGGTCACTACACCCAGCACTGGCAGGGAGGTGCCTAAGGGGCTGGAGAACCCTCCACCAAGAGGTCCTCGGGCTACACCTCCACCCTGGGGGTGCCAGAGAGGAGCTTGAAGCAGATCGCTAGTTTGTGGTCAAAGTCCTGGATGAAGCGATTCGGGAACTACTCCGTCGAACAAGCACTAATGACTTGGTTAAGAAGGCCATATGTCCCGGGAGACAGTGGCCGCCGAAGTGCTAAGGCGTCACGCGGATGGTTGGGTCAAGGTCTTTGGACCAGGAGCGACTATCCCCGTGCCGACGTGGGGAGTGGTGATCCATGGTGTCCCGATTCGGTCCATGAATCCCAGTCCGGAGACGATGCAGAGGGTTGCAACTCAGCTGACGGCCGCCAACCAGCATACCTGGGGGCCTAGCGTAGAAATTTTGCATATCGGGTGGTTAAGCCCCAGAAGAACAAGGCTGAGGGGTCCATCGTGGTCGAATTTACCAATCCAGCGGTGGCGAATCAGGCGATTGATCAGGGGACCATCTGGAATCCTGTGCCCTCAGCACGACTACCCTTTGCAAAGAGCGGCGTGTAAAGATGTGCCGTAAGTACCAGAAGTCTAGCCCCATCCAAGCCCAGAGTAAATTACAATAGAATATTTGCAAAGAGGGGCGTGTTTTTCTTCTGAGTGTAAACCAAAACCATAAAGCAGGGCGAGACACAATTCCCGAAATCTATGTAGAATACTATCGCTGTATCCGGGACGCAGAAACAAAAGAAACAACAATCAATGGAGGATGACGGTCTAATTGCAACGGAGCCAAGAGTCAAGCTACGCACTGGAGGCGAGGACTGCCTCGAAATCGGATCCTTAGGCTGCTGAATCATTATTTTTGGGCTGGCTGACCGCCGGAAGAGCTTTGGGCTTGATGTTGATCCATTCACCGCAGAAAGCTAAGATAAGTGTGGCCCCCGAGAGGACGATACTCATGATCCAGGCATGCTTGAGGCCAACCATATACGCCTGCAAGACTCCCAGCAGCTGATCTCCGGAGAAGACCCCGCGGAGGTCATAGGCACCAGTGCTCTGGACAGATTCAGGGGACACGTCGGGGGCCAGCCGTGGAAGACTTTTAAGGAGGCCGTTGTTAAAAATAGCTTGTGCACACGATGTGCCAAAGGAGCCGCCCACGAACTGGAAGACTGCCAGGGAGTGCATGGTTAGTGCTGTATTCCAAATTGGATTCCCATCGAAAACTTACATAGCACATTTGACATGGCCATGCCAACGTCGGGTTGGGCCGTGGTTGACTGGGCCACAATAACGGGAGTTTGGATGGCCAACCCCAATCCGAAACCAGCGATAATTTGGTATCCGATCCACTTGCCTGTCGGGGTGCCAATATTAAAGGTATAGATTAAGCCACCTCCAATAATCGCGAGCATGCTTCCGACAATCAGGAAGGGCTGGTACCATCCGATCTTGCCTACCATACGAGCGGCAAATATACTACAGAAAGCTGGTGGGGGAGATCGAGAGGATTAGCCTCTACCATTCGGATATGGATAATCGCATCCGACACTTACAGAGAGATAGAATCGTCGGCAGTACACGGACCCCACTCTGCCAGGGAGATACTCCGTCGATAGCCTGGAAGTAGATGGGCAGGTTGTAGGTTCGGGCGAATCCAGCAAAGTTCGTGCTAGATCGACGACTCATCAGATTTAAGAAGCCAAAGTCCGATTCAAACCACAGGGCACATACCAGCCAATAAAGGCACTGCAGACCCAGATCGTCCGCCGCCGCATAATCCGACCGACAATAACGGCTCGTTCTCCTTGTTTCCACTCCAGGATTCCGAAGATAATCGTCAACAAAACCCACCCGATTAACGTCCCGATTACCTCGGAGGAGTTCCACGCCTTAGTGGTTCCACCCCACTCGAGAGCTAGGAAGAAGCAAGTAAGCGATCCGATCAGGAGAGCCATACCCGGAAGATCCAGGGTCAGCAGCAGTTCCTTCGGAGTGATCGGCACTGGCTTCATAAATGCCGGTGGCTGATATACGAGTGCGATGATAATCATCACCAGCCCACCAATTGGAAGGTTGATAAAGAAGCACCACCGCCAGGTCACTCGATCTGTGAAGGCTCCTCCAAGCAGAGGTCCAGCGACACTCGCCAGACTAAAAATACCGCCAGTTAACCCCAGGTAGGTGGGCACCTTGGGCGGGGGCAAGGAGATGGCCATCAGCAGGTACACACCGCTGGTTGTGCCGGCACCTCCAACGCCCTGAACAGCGCGTCCCGCGATCAGCGTCGTACTATTCTGGGCCACGCCGCAGATCAAGCTCCCAATCTCAAATATAAAGATCGACCCCAGGAACACCCACTTAACGGGACCATGCTTAAAGGCCTTGCCCCAGAAGGACACAAAAGCCCCAAGTGTTAAGAAGAATCCCGATCCATACCAACCGACCTGGTCCAAACTGCCAAACTCGCGTGTGATCTTTGGAATGGCCGTGGCAATAATACTCTTTAAGTTGGGGCTAGGTTAGTCAGATGACTTTATCGCTAGGGGCTATCGCATCTCTCACCATATCTAGTGCAACCAAGAACATGGCTAAGAGCAACGACAACACAACCAAGACGAGCTTGAACCCCGTGGGGTACACGGGCTTCGGGGTTCCCGCGGGTGCTGGTGGTGGGGCCGCCTCGTGCTTCTCCTTATGGCTCATCAGTTCATCCTCACTATTGGTAACGGTAGTATTTGCATGGCCGTGCTTGGGGGATGAGATATCCCTATTGGCCGTGGGAGCGGTTGGCTTAGCCGCCATGAGTAATAGGTTAAGCTTAGGGCGGGATGCGCAAGTGCCACTATACCTAGGAGAAGGACGAATAAGCTCAACTCCAGGTGGAACGAACAAAGAAAGCCAGATGATCTAGACTGGGCGATGGCCCCCGGGTCCCGAAATAAATACTCATTGGGAGTTCTCTCTCCTGATTAAAAATACAGTTGCTGGTGATTTGAAATCAACAACAGCAGTCTTTGTCCCTTAGCTGCTAGTCGGGTCTTTCTTTCATTGGTCGACAACCCTCCTGTCTCAGATAGCCTGGGATAATACTTAAATTAGTCCCTGATGGTTCACCCTCACCACCGACGATGATTGTGGCAAACCCAAGCGTTTGCCTTTGACGTTACCCTGACCCTCACGTCCCCACAGAAGGGTCCCTAAGCGGCGACGGACTCACGGAGTGTGCTCTTCTCGCGAGCCCGGCACCCACTCCCAGTCCTTGCAAAGCTAGCGTTGTGGAGGCTGCCCCGAGTATCTCATCGAGCCTCACTCGTGCCGAATGCTTCGCTGCAACTCCTGCTGTTCGCTGCCCGCCCAAAACTGATGGAGCCGTTCGCGGTCTAGATCAGGCGGCGTGGTGGACTGGTGCTGCCTGGCGTTTTTGTTAGTCTAATTGGTGTATATTTATATGAAATTACTACGAATCAAGCTTGATGTTGTAATACAAATTTCTTTTATGTAACTTCTTCGGTTGGAGCGGACCTCGCATGCTTGTGAACATGAAAGTACAATACTCGGGCCGTCGCATTACTCTAACTTTCGGTTGCTGGAATACCCTACTTTGATAACCCCAAGCATTTTTCACAGTTTCGCAACCATGTACCTTTGTATGGGGCGCATACAGTACAGATACATTATAGTAAAAAAGTTCTCAATCTACATTTCGGCTACACATTTAAACAGTTCAAGGAGTACACGTCTCAAGTACAATAGCCCTAAGAATGTATGCACATATCACTTAGTTGAATTTAGATATAATGTTCTAAAGGATTTTGTCACAGATCATGCGGCTAAAAGAAAATTCTGTAGCAAGTGCCAGGCAACCCTTTGGTTCTAGTCAGGGCAAACAGGGTCCGATTGATGGACTTCTGCAAGACTTGGGCGTAAATGCATATGGTGGAGTTCACCAGTAATTTCCACAATGCAGAATCCTATTCAAAAGTCAAATAGATCAGGCTCCAAGTAAACCATGATCTTTCCAAGGCACAGGGTGTAGCCGAAAGAACCAGGGTTTCGTTAGACTTGTGTAGCTTGTCCGAACGCTAAACAATCTGAGACATGCATTGTTAGTGCCGGGATTTGCGCTGAGACGTTGATTGGCCATGTCACGATTACCGGGACAGTCGACTATGTTAAGATAGGCATGGTAAGCAACATGGTTTATGTTAACTACTTTATAAAACCTCTTCCGAACTTAGTGAACCTCAGAGAGGTCTATGTTACAGAGAATTATCTCTTCTTTGTGTACAAAAAAGGGGCATATCCTTGAAGGAAATACTCTATTTCTCTCTTGTTTTTCGGCAAGGAGAAGTTGAAGTTGCTACTATTTATCGTGAGGTATGTTTAGCTGATAAGCTTTGCCCTCTATTCCAGGAGAGGTTTACTAATAGACTTTATTAGATTAGGTCCTCAAGGGCTTAAGATATAATTTCAATACTATCGGAATTAGTTATAGGTCCCTCTCTGAAAGTAGCATCCATATTACTGAGGACGGTGATATTAAAATAGGTGACTCTAACCACTGTGGCTAATCCAAGTATTCAGAGCTTACATGCTTTAGCAAGTTTTGGGAAAACTATGGCCATGAATACCGGTCCAGAGGAATGTCCTATAATATTAAAAATGTTTGCAAACTTGCGCGCTTGCTTTTGGGATCAAGCGATGCCCCAGCCAGGAAGGGAACCATTGTTGTTCTCGCGGCAGATTCTGCCCATGCAGCATCCGACGTAACTATCGACGAACTACTACAGGTACGAGCCAAATTCCTTCGTTCTAAATTACTACATAGGAGAGACTAACTCTCAGAAGCATTTATTTATTAGTACAGGCAGTTGGTATCTCGTCGAGCGAACTTTTTTTGTATGATTGCTCAGAAGGCAGATAGTCTAAGCCAGCCGTTCGGGTTAGTTGACCAGTTCATGCTGAATTAAACCATGCATCTGAGAAAGTAGAGAGAAACTAAGCCTATTTTAGTGCCGCGGCAAAATAATGCAAGTGACACGAGTTTCGTATATTGGTTATACTGTATCTGCTCTGATTAACTCCCGGGCTTCGCCCTCAGGGGGGTGCGGTGGACGTGTGCAGAAAAACAAGTAACAGTTTTTAATTCCCAATCCATCAGCTGCGTATGTACACACAAATATACACACACACGAAAAGAGAGAGAGTTAAATGTCAATTTCGTTAGAAAATTGCCCGCTCCCTAAGGCTCTCAACTAATACAAGCAACGGGCTCGCTCAGATCCACACAAACACCACCGTCGACATCATTATAGCACAAGCCTTGAGTTGATCATAAGCGTCTTATTATGTATGATTGAATATGTGACATATACGTGCAAAAAACTCACAGTCGGGACAGCACAAATATTCTTGGGAAGACCACCGTGTGGGTTGGCTCTGCGTAGCTATTAGGATTGTGTACCAGAAAAATGAGTCAAGGGTGCTCACGAATTACGGTATCCATTTGCGTTGTCAGCATGTACCATAGCTCCTACAGACAGGAGCAACGCGAAGAACTTGAATACGATGTGCATCGTGTGTGGATCGGGATATGGAACGCAGATGAAGCTTATGAAGTTCGATAAATGGTTGAGCGATAAAGATAAATTTCTGGCAGGCTACAGCCATTAGAGTCTATGTAATCATATACAAAGTCCTAGAAGTAATATCACTGATGTTATGCATGAGGGGGATTACTGTAACGAGTAGTATTACGAGTAGTATAATAGAGAGTATAACAGGGACTATAACAGGTAGTATCACGACTAGTGGACGCAAGGTATTTGTGAAAGATCCACAGCCAGAAGTTGTTTATATATCCTCCTCGGACTCTCCGACCTTTCCCCAGTTCCTGGACACATCACATTCACCACCAATTTCATTATCAAGGCTCTGGCCTTATCGACTCTTTCAAGATGAAACTCATACAAAACTGCTCCATTCTTGCCGTTATAGTGGCACTCAGCAATGCCGCTTCGCTTCCCACCAGCCTCCGAAGCAAGGAAATCCACCAGATCTCCACTGTGGAAGACATTCCCGAACTCCGCAAGGGATTTACTTGGAGAATTTTGAAGCGACCCGTCGGAAACGATACAAGAATTGGCCGTGTTGTGGAAACTGATGCTGAGCCCAACCAGCTGAAAAGCGGGAATTGGGCATTGGTTGCACTGGCGTAAGTGCCGATACGGCCAGCTTCTGGTGTAAACGCAACCGGCTAACGCACTCAACAGCATGCTGGGTCACCCCCTATAAACGAAAATTGTATCACGTTGAATACCCAGATCCTGAACTACCAATCTACAGTTCTCGTGGAGCCGGGCTACTGCCACCAAGCAACATATGGCACCCGCTTGACCTATGCTTGTGCCAAATGTCAACAGGTCGCTGTGGACACAGATCTATGGCACAATGTAAACCAAGCAATCATCAGCCACTGTGTTGACCATGGTGAAGCTGGGTATGGGACAGACAAAAAGCATGGTGATTGGGAACTTGGCATCGAGCATTCGGATGATGAGCTGCCTTCATATATTTGCTGAGTTGGGTATGAATCATGTTGACGGGGGCCCTGCTTCCTCACTGCCCAGAGGTAGATTTCAGTGTAAATGCACTTTTTTAAATAGCCTGAATCCAACGTCTTTCACACTTCAATCCTTTATATAGAAATCTACGTAGTCGTTCGAGGAATGTTTGCACTGATGTTCCTGATGTAAGGTTAATGTACTGTGCTGTCATAAACGCTCGGAAATAGATGTACTGCAACCTGTGAAGTTTTGACAAATTATGGTTTATACTTCTCTTTTGAATAACCAGCCCATATAGCTTGCTCAAGCAAATCACTCAACTCTCAATTTACCAAAAACCCTTTCAAGCAGAGAAAGCTTATCAGCGCCTACTTTCAAAATTCCGCGACAACCAATGCAATCCATTTACGTCAATGAAAGCAGAGACACAGTACAGCAGCAATGACAATGACCAGGGGGTAACAATATCAAAAGCAGAACTGTTAGTAGATCTAAGCATTCTCCTCTTCATGATGAACCGTCACAGCCCCATGGCGAGAATCTCTGTACTAAGCGCTTCGACCCATCCACATCCTGCTCTTGTGATATTATTTGGGAAGTACCCTTGATCGCCCTTCGGAATGGAGACATTCCGTGGCCGTGAGAGGGTGTTGGCACATCCCGAGCGATCCAGCCTTTCTTACGGTCGACCATTGCGTTCATGACCAAGTCGTTCCATACCTGATCGGTGGGAGGAAAAGGACACTCAAATTTCCACTTCACTCGAATCTGCGCGTTGTATGTCTTCTCAGATACGGCATTATCCGGCTCTGGATAGGGAGTGTGGAACACCACCTCGATAGAACCCCCGTAGGCGGTGTTACGTGCCAGGCGCTCGATATGAGCTTTCATCACAGCGCAATCGTCATCGGGAAAAGAGACTAATTTACAAAGCGTCCAGCTGAAAACACCATGGTTTATTAGCATGATAAGAGATATCAGGGGCTAGGAAAAGCCAAACATAACAAACATACCATCGGCCGTCCGTACCATTAGCCAGCCAGTCATTAAGCCAGCTATCTAATATCGCTTCGGGATTTTCGCTGGTCTGATTGGCAGAGTAATCCCAGGAGCGATAGTCTTGCTCTCTGCTTGTTAAAAATTGTGCAGATTTGATTCCTACCACTTTCAAGCAGTTGATCCGAATATCAAAATCAATAACCTTAGCCTGTTCGTTGGTGATATGCGTCCCGAGGATTTGTAACGAAGCTCTGGGTGGAGAGTTTAACTGCCCGATAATAGAGGAGTTGCAGGAGGTAGTCGCCATTTTTTGTTGTCGCGGTAGACAGTTATGGGGGAAAAAGATTGTTGGGTAGAACTCTGGGGTCCAGACGTGGAATATTCCTGGATTATTTATAGCTGAACAGAAGGTTCGTCTCCAATTACGTCAGCTATGCAAACTCCTATCATGATCGATAGTGATAATGGTGGAGGTTATAATGATGTACACAGCAAGACTGCCAAGCCACTTATATAGCCATTTTCATCTCGCGCGACCCAAATAACGACCCCAACTCATCTGCAACCTCAACCAGGAACAAGCTCTCTCAGATTTAGATACACGTGTGCGGTCTCTAAGTCGAATATCGCTACCGCTGATCGTTATTACTGCCCCCTGCCAATCAAACATTGCGATACCACTCTCCAGCACAGACGGAGGGATCTGTCCATAGAACCCACGTGTGATTATAGACTGTTCTGAATCTGGGTCATTCCATCTTTATCTTCGTCTTTATAGATCTGTAGTTCAGATGTAGCGTCCCAAGCAGATGGTCAGGGGCTGAACCCGTAGAACCTATACGATAGGTTATGTACTAAAGGAATCGTTGAATAAGGGAATAAAGGAAGAAAGGAAGAGGAAAATGAGTGGTAAACAAACTATCCGATATTCGGCTAATACCGAATAGGAAAGTAGACACTATTCTTGAAAGGTGCTTAAAATGATTGTTTTAGATGGGTTCTTGATTATATTGATCAACATATGATCATTCTTGTGATTATTATTATGGATCATTAGGTTGCTTCTTCTGCTAGGTGTAGGGGAGTTCGTTTTACCCCTCTTTTATGACCTTGTTTACGTCACTATTACCACCAACTTATTTGACACAAACAAGGTAAAGGTCACGTGACATGATCGAGGGTCAATGGGGCAGTAGGGAGGACAAGGACCATAGGCCCGAGAAGGTAAACAAGGCCCAGCCCTTTACACAGATTTGGGGCAGTCTATAATCACGCGTGGGTTTTATGGACAGATCCCTGTTTTTATAAATTAGTTGTATTAAGGTGCCTTTTTCCCTCATAGCGGCAACACCGAGCGCCCACACGGAAATAGCACAGCAAGCAATTCGGCATGTTTGTCACACGCTAAGTTATTTAAGTAAAGCAGACCCAAACTATCGGTAAATACGTTCGGTAAAACTGCTCTCCCAGGGGGCCGTGTGCTGTATACCCGATGGCGCGCGGATCCCTCCCTAAGTTTCCCACGGTCTTTCCATTTTGAAATGAAAAGGTGAGAGAGCAGAGAACTCGGACGTTGGTTGCCAAGCGAGCCCACTGGCGGTGATCGACAGGGCCGTCAAACACCATTCCTTTGCCCCTCCTTCGGACCACTTCGGGCCTTAACAACTTGGTGACAAACAGGATCGGTCCTTAGGTTAAACGGACCGCTGGTCCTGCTTTGGCCAGTTAGTAGTATTGGTGCTCCGGCATTGCCCCCAAAGTGTAGTGCTATGCGCAGTGTGCCAATTACGGGTTCTCGTTTCTGTTGATCCCATCCATCTTTACCATCTGGAGCTAGTACTATATGACCATTTATTTGGTGGTTAGTCCCTCTTCCGAGAAATCATCGATCAGAGAGTAGACTGCTTAGACCACAGATGTCCGTGCCACACACTAGCATGCTGGCTTTCATTTCACTGGTTTGAACAACACACCGGTTCATGTTAGTGTGGCAGAGGAGAGTTTTGGAGATTAATTGTCCACTGACTAGCAATAGCAGTGATTGCATCCTACAACGCCCGCTGTTTCCCTTCGGTAATGTTTCCATTCGAGCGGGAGCACCTCAAGAGCCTTCCTTGAGTGGCCAGCCTCGGAAACAAAATATATTTTGGTCTAAAAAGTGGATATCACTGTATGGAGAACAGGGGGTACGAAACACTGAATGGGAGATATTCTAAAAATGGTAATGTATGTTAGGCATTAGGTCGGCATGCCTTGTCAAATAGCGGAAGTGTTTTCCATGTTGTCCTGCTAGCAGGGGCACACGATCACGACGCGCTGCTCGCTAAATTGCTAATTCGGCGTAATATGTGCCTGTTCAAATCTGTCGAATTTTGTTCTTCAAGAACACAGAAATTTTCATCAAGCATTTCCCTAGCTGTTGCTGCCTCGACAGGTAGGGCGTAGATCCATCCGATTTGCAACTCTTCTCGTGGAGGGCACGGCATGGTATTATGGGCTAACCAAGACAGAGTTCTGCGTTTTCTGCGCTACTCTATGTTAGCAATATATGAAGGATATTAGAAAGAAACGCAGACATAAACTTCTGTTAACTTTGACCCTGCTACTTGAAAAGGGGCAATCTAGAATGATATGAGGGCAGAACCAAAATTATTTGAGCCTCCAAAACTCAGCCTTGAGCTGGACATGAGACACAGCAACAGGGGGCTAGGGCGGCAAGCAGTTGCGGCTTGCCATTGCGAATTGTAGGAGTATCGGCTCAGCAGGCCTGAACACAAGGTCCCCAACTAATCCGCTCAGAATCATTTCTGGTCCAGGCGACGACACGTCTGCGAGTCTGCAGCTATCTCCGGAGACTCCCCCTCTTTCTCACTGCCCTGTCTTGAGCAGGAGCAAGATTCGGCGTTAAAGTCTAATCTTTCGTGGTATGCAGTTCAAATGTCATGTAATGTCGTACATCCATCTTAGCATCTAACCCTTCTACTATAGGTTACTGGTGTGGTCTATACAAAGACCAAAATACTATGTCCTTGTAGACAAGCGAGGCATTAAATAAGTTGGAACTTGGAAGGTGATTATTGGATGTGATTGAAAGTCTCCATCTTGCTTTCAGGCCACTGTCATCTCTTCTTGTCGGCGTAGGGGTATTGGTTAAATCGCTAGCCCGTGTCAGTAAACTGCGTCCAGCACCTCGCGCCGCCATGGAGTTAACAGAAATCATTGTTGCAAATAATATGGTCCGTAGATTTATATAATTGCTATGTATCAGGTTGAGGGTTGGTGTCGGAGAAGGAATACCATCCATAGCTTGTAACATTCCGCTTGGTGATATCAGCTGTTCAGCGGGCACCAGTGGAGGTGTGCTTAATATGATATGGGGAAGATTAGGGTAGATAGCATATTTTCTCAAATTAGGTTACTAAACAACCCTCTAAGATCGCTGTTAACAGCAATTAATGCTACAAGGGCTGTTAGGCTAACTAACAATCCCCGCTATCTGGAATATCTTCAAAGCGTGATCGGGAGGAGTCGGAGGACCTTACAGAACCGGAAAATTTTTGCCAGACCTGCTTTACAAAGTAATCAATTGTTTCAACCCAAGCACAATTATTTGGGTACTGCAGATAATTGTGATGTATCTCCAGAAGCATGGGAGGAGCTTAGAAGTATACAAAGGGATAATATCCCACAACTACACTGCGTTATTATCGCATCTGGGAATACTGTTATTAAACTCGGATGGACATGAGAGAAGCTCCGGCTGGAAACCAAGCCACTGTGTTGTAAAAAAAAGGCAGCAGGATTATATACTAAAAGGCTGCTGGGGTATCTGCCCCGTAGTCAAGTTTCACAGGAGAGCCCAGCGAGAGATATGTGCTGTAAGTAATATCTAGATAAGCCTAATTTATTAACAAACTCTTGAATTGCTTATACAGGGTTGCGATAGGTTCCATAGAAAAATTAAATAACGAAACTAAAGGTAATAAATAACCAGCGATTAGATAAAGCGTATGATTAACGAACAAAGACGGCGCGCTCAATCACCTTTTCATAATTGAGACTGGCGCTCCTCTAGGAGAAAAAGAATTGCATTGTCGGGGAGTCGAACCCCGGTCACCCGCTTGGAAGGCGGGTATCTTAACCGTTGGACCAACAATGCTGTTGGTTGGAGAAATTGACCAATTGACTGTCTACATGACACTAGGAACTTACTAAATTGATCACATTTCGTTGCTTTTTATTCTATTGATGGTTACACATGCGTAGGTTATATCGCTCTGATCTTCCTTTTGCAGGAAGCTATTTTCCTCACACTCCTCGCTTCAGTACTAGCGACGGAGACGATCTTGCGGTAGTACCGGTGATATTGTAAAGGGCTGGAGCCCGTTTGACCTCTCGGGCTAATTAATCCCATTGACCCTATTACCCTTATTATCCCTACTGTCCCCGTTGTCCCTATTGTCCCTGTCCCTACAGGCCCTTTTGGCCCGTTGACCCTCGACCCATATCACGTGACCTTTCGCCTTATTTGATTACCGCTCATTTTGTACACAGCCCGTTATATAGGTTCCACGGGTTCAGCCCCTGACAGTTCCCCTCCAAGTTTCTTGACTTCTTTATGTCTGAAGCATAGGTGGAGCATGGACAGAGAGGAGGGACTAAACTAAATGTGGCAGCACCAACTCACATCTTGCAGGAGGGCCACAAAGTCAGTGCAAAAGAACACAACGCTTGGCCTTGATTGGCATAGATATGTTGTCGATCCTTCCAGACCTACAATTCGCTCCAAGATTATGATAGGGCTGACAGTGGCACTAAGTATTTTTGATGGTTATGGGCTAGTTTCAACTTCCGTTCTTCAGTCCATCTCGATAGTCTCTTGACAGACCGTGGCCGCCTATACATCTGCAGTGCACTCAACCAGGTCAAAGGCCATTGATCCAGTTCAAATATGGTAAAACAGATATTTTATTGAGCCTGGGCCATGAGAATGGGCGCTTGACATTATGGAGATGAAGGCTACTGTGACCCTGCGATGTGAGACTTGTTTCCTTGCAAGGTCCCACCCGGTCTAGGACCATGAATCATCATAGGATGATCAGCTGAGCACCTAGGAATGCTTTGTCTGTTCCTGCGAAGCACATATTGAATAGTAGGAGCATCGATGCTCCTGGGAGTGCGAAGCTCGCATCCAGGAAGCGGAACCTACTTTGGAAGATTGGGAGTTAGAGAAGAGCTCCCGCTCTAGTCGTTCATTGCTGAATCAGTGGGCAACAGATCAGTCGGAGAAAATAGTAACAAGCTGGG